TGAGGCACTGGGTTTGATCCTCAGCACTACATACAGATAAATAAAACAAAGGTATTGTGTCCATCTATAACTCAAAATTAAAAAAAAAAGCAGATCAACTAGTCAATCCCAAAAAACCAAAGGCTGAATGTTCTCTCTAATAAGTGGATGCTGATCCATATGATGGTGGTGGGGTTTATGGGGAAAATGGAGGAACTTTGTTTGGGCAAAGGGGAGGGAGAGGAGGGGAGGGGGCATGGGGGCAGGAAAGATGGTGAAATGAGATGGACATAATTACCCTAGGACTGTGCATATGGTGCAACACTACATGTATATAACCAGAGAAATGAAAAGTTGTGCTGCAATTATGTACAATGAATCAAAATGCATTCTGCTGCCACATATACCTAATTAAAATAAATAAATAAAAATAAAATAAATGACTCTAGGAAAATTTTAAAAAAAGATTTGAAGCAAAATTTAAAATAAACAAATATATTTAAGGAAAAAAAGGCAAATCAACCACCAAGGAACATATTTGTATGTATCTTGAAGTCTGAGAACTCTTGGTCTTGACTTCACATTTATCTTTGCTCCTTAGGAAGCTGGGCCATATAGAGTGTTAAAGAGTGAGTGTATGTTGAGGCATAAATTCCAGAGATATTATCATGTGCATCCCATCAGACCCACAGATAGAACTGAGGATGCTGGGTGTTATGGTTTGGATGTGAGGTATCTCCCAAAATCTCATGTGTGAGACAATGCAAGAAGATTTAGAGGAGAAATGATTGGGTTGTGAGAGCCTTAACCCAAACAGTGAATTAATCACCTGATGCGATTAATTGAATGGTAACTGAAGACAGGTGGGATGTGGCTGGCGGAGGTAGGTATTGGGGGCATGGCTTTGGGGTATATATTTGTATTTGGCAAGTGAAGTCTCTCCCACTGCTTCCTCATCACCATGCAAACCACTTCCCTCCCCCATACTCTTCTACCATGTTGTTCTGCTTCACCTTGAGCCCCAAGGAATGGAGCCTGCTGTCTATGGATCGAGACCTCTGAAACAGCCCCCACGTAAACTTTTCCTCCTTCTATAGTTGTTCTGGTTGGGTCCTTTTGTCACAGCAGCGAAAAAGCTGACTAAAACACTGGGAGATACTTTGGACATTGAATTGCACCTCCTTGTAAAGACTCCATTTTCCCAGATCTGAGTGGGGCCCGAGTAGGTTTCTTGATTCTTGGTCCAGCCAGTAGAGATTCTTCCCTCAACAGTTCTACCATACTGGTGAACCCTCCTCATTTATTTCCCTCCACCTTTCTATTTTACCTGGAATATGGTGTCTTTAACTCTTGACCTATCCTATGTGTACAAAGAAATACTGCCCCTGAGGGAAGACAGTATGGTTATCAGTGGTTTCAATTTACAGCATAGTATGTTGGATAAGCACTCTATTGCTGAACTACACCTCCAAAGCACAATTTGCTATTTCATTTCCTTCCTTCATCTCCCACTTGGATCTCTAGGGCCAACTGTCTACCTCCTTCAAAGCCAAAAAGATTTTCTTTTTTCTGCTTTTTGTTTTTTTAATTCTATGGCTTTAAGAAATAATGTCTAATAAAAAGAAATATATAAATAAAAATATGATTTATAACTACACTAGTCATGGTTGAACCCAGAGGAAAAATTTGATGTGTATACTTCTAAGAATGTATAATTAATCTTTTAAAAATTTGGATCATTTTAAGATGGCAATGTTTTCTATACTGCCTGGTCTGGAATTCTGGTGCAATGATCTTCTTGAGTCAATTACTCAAATTATCTGTGCTTTAGTTTCCTCATCTTTAAAATGGGATCATGGAATATCACTTACCCCCAGGACTGTTAGAAAGCATAAATTAATTATACTTGGGAAGCACTTAGAAGCAAAAGGAACTCAGTAGATATTTAAAAAATATTATAGAACATTGATGTTTTTATTACCTATATATGAATACTGTTTTATTTTTGCATGTTATTTATGACTGATACATGACTTATCATCTGATCCAAAACCCATTAAATGATTATATTGTAATTTTTCTAGTCAATGTTTATTGTGTTACATTTATTATTTTCAGTGTTTTGCGTACTAATAAATAACTAAAGGATTTAAGAACTATAAAAATAAAAATAATAAAATAAAAATTAGAGATACAAATAACACTAAACATTTTGTGCAATAAATCTTTGGACATATCATTTATTTCCTAGGGGCAAGTTCTCAAAGTAGAAAAATGAATCAAAGTGTATTCACTCATTTTAGATTTTTTTCAAAATGCCTTCTAGAAACATCATGTGAATTTCTGTTCCTAATGCATGAAACTGCTGTTTCCCTGTAGCCTTTTCAGCTCTGGGTAGCGTTTGGAAATTGTCTTCTTAGTCTGTACTCTTCCTAATCAGATGATGCTCTTTTTTCCAGAGTTCTACTCTTTGAGTTGCTTTCTCTCCTCTTTTAATGTTCTATGTTTTCTAATCTTAATTTCCCTGCCCTGCTATTATTCCAAACCTTATTTCCTTTCTGGTTTCTTCACATCATTTCCTTTCTACCCACTTGGAGTTAGACTATTATATTCTGTTTTGTATGAGCTATAAATCTAATAGATGGATATCAGAGACAGGAACTTATTTTTTTTTCATTGAGCCCAAATCTGACCCAAATGAAGTTGTTCCCAAATGGACTCACCTACTTAAAAAATTAACAAGATCCCTGTTGCCCAAAGACTGTAGCCATATGGACATGCATCTGAGTGCTGTGGGAGGTATTACTCTGGGCAGTTGGTCTGCATAACAGTCAGTGTCTAACCAGAAACTACTCCAGGTATTTAAACACAGAAGGAATTTAATTTAGGAGATTGGTTACATACAGGTTTGGGGAGCTCAGAAATCGGATATTGAGGCAATATATTTTCCATGGAGTTCAATACACTCCCTTATCTACCTGAATGAAAGGGATTCAACCTCAAGTTTTGTTGGAAGGCTCACAGGGCAGGACCACATTTATGCCAACATCCAGATACAATGCAACTAACGCTCCTGCCTCCTGCTCACGAAGGCAGACTGTGGCCATAATCCTGCCAGTTGCACTCAGGCTGCTAAAGACTACTGTTTCCCACCGTGCCACAGGAGAACCCCATACAAGACAACTCTAAGATCAGTAATATCAGAAGCTGGGACCACTCATATGCTAGAGGAACAAAGGAATTGCTGGTGGAGTCACCTAAAGGAGCTCAGGGCCATCATGTGTCTGTCTTTTGGGATCTGGATCACAGATGATGCAGACATATCTAATCACTTGAGGAGAGCTGGAGGGGGAACCTACCCATCTTTCCCCTTCTCCCTCTCCAGTCTTCTCCCCTTGTCAATTCAATCAGGAACCAGTTGACACAGACAGTTGTGGGATTGTACATAGCCTGGTTCAACCCCCTTGTGACACAGAGCCAAGCTGGAGAAGTGTGTGCAGAGAGGATCTGAGGGCCAACAGGCAAACACCAGACAGACAGCCTCTGGTGTCCTTCAGGTCCACAGACAATAGGACAAAGTGCAGACCATGCTGTCCCTAGAGGTAGACAGTCCCATTTTTGAATCCTGGCTTAGTGATTTACTAGCTCTCTGGCCTGCGGCAAATCACACAGCTCCTATGAGCTTTAGTTTCCTTATCTATAAAAAGGGGGCAGAAAACCACATTTTACAAGGTCATTGGGAAGATTAAATAAAATAACAGCTACAAAGTAGCAGTAAGCATCTGAGAACAATTGGCTTCCTTTCATCCTAAATGTAGGATTTCAAGACAAAGGACAATTGAGTGTTTGGTCAAGGTCATCCAGCCTTTCTATTTTGAAGTGGGGGAAGGAAACAGAAGGAGTGTTCCTTTGAAAGCTCTGTCTAGGGTGGGGGTAGGTGATATATTGTTCAATAATGATAATGGGAGACAATCTAAGAAACATTGAAAGTATCGTGCATGGCTGATTCATTCCATAAACATTTATGGAAGTGATTTAGACATAGGCCCTGTGATGGGGGTGATGTTATTCTATCAGGGATGACAGATGGTCAGAGATAAATCTCAATGTGTGATGGTATGGGAATGTTTGCAAAAGTAGGAGCCCAGGATATCTCTGCCTAGGAAAGTGGGAGAAAGCTTCAGAGAGGAGATGACATTTGAGCTGTTTGTTAAAGGGTGGGTAGGAGTTAGTTGCCATAGAAAGGGCATAGGGTGTTGGAGTGAACTAGGCACATAGGGGGCTGAGGGGCCCCCAGTAGAGATGTTGGCAAGAATAGGTGGGAGATGGAAGAGAAACCAACATATGGAGGGCCTGGTGTCAGAAGCTAATGATTTTATTAGTCAGCAGAGATGCAAACCACAGAGTAATCCATCATCTCAAATCTAGAATTTCATAAAGGGACACATCTTCCCAGATAATATTATGGCCTTAGTCAAAGGGCCAAAGCCTGCAGTTATATAAGGCAGGGTCTATGTGGGCATCTCACAAGAAAGTCTGAATCAGAAAATGAGCATACTGGGTTCCCCTTAATATTAAATGCAGAATGGAAAAGGTCATTAATTTGTCTTCCAGACGCTGAAGGGACCAAGGTAAATATTTAAAATGTTCTTCTCTTTTCCACAAAGCCAAGAACATCAGAGGTAGGACGATGATGCTCATGACTCTGAGACAGGATTTCAAGGACTCCTGGTGAAATGTCTGCTGGCCTGAATCTGTCTGAATGCTTAAAAGGACTCTGTTACTATAACAGAAAAGAAAATACAAAATGGTAACAGAGCCCTTCCTCGTGTATTAGTTCACGCAGGCCTCATGAAGATTGTGTGTGGCCGACATACAAACATATTTTAGTGACGAGGAAATGGAGATCTGAGGGTTTCATACCTTTCCTAGGGTCCAGGAAGTTATCCCCAGGGCTGCAACTAGATTTCTAGACACACAGGCCAGTGCCTTCCCCAAACCCGAGGAACTGCTCTGCCTACCTGCTTCCTTCCATATGCCAGGACAGCTTCTTTCAGATCTTGAAGGGTACGAAGTTCAAGATCCAGCCCCTTCTTGTGACCTTTAGGGCAGCAGGAGCCCTTTCTCCTCTCTTTGGGGGTCCATGCTGAGATGGCTAGCCCTTCTGAGTAGAGGATCAGGGCACCCTTTCGTGTGCTAAAAGTCTTAGGAAGAAAGAGGTTCCAAGAATGCTGGTTGGCATCCTCCTCATTCTGAGGTTTGCTGACCAGGACATAGTCTTCTGGGGACTTCCAGTTCAAGTAATCCTGTAATGAAAAGAAATTGCCTTGATTGAATCACTGTGGAAGACCCTCTTTTAGCAAATTCCACTCATGCAGTGTTTGACTTTCCCTTCAGTTACTGATTTTCTCTGAGTTGCTTCATGTGGAATCATGGAACACAATTACTCTTTTATTTTTGGTACTGGGAATTGAACCCAGGGATGCTCTACCACTGAGCTACATGCCCGACTCTTTTTTGACTTTTTGAGACAGGATCTTGCTAAATTGCCCAGCCTTGAACTTGCAATCCTCCTGCTTCAGGCTCCCGAGTTGCTGGGATTACCGGTGTGAAACACAAATACTCTTCTTAGCAACTGGTTTTTCTTCCTGCATCTCAAAATTAGTGGGACCCAGGGCATGATTCTATTTTATTCCATACGATTGTCAGGATAGCCATTCATGTGCGGAGGCTGGAGTGGGTACAGTGTAGGTAATGGGCCAGTTAAAGTTTCCTGATATGCAAGTAGGTAGTCAGAATTGTCAAGGGCAGCAGATAACTTTGAAATTAGATCTGGACAGGTTGGCAGTTTAAATAGGAGAAAACCATTCCAACCCACTACTGGTTCAGCTGCACACAGGGAGAATTTCTACACATTCCAGATGCTATGTAACTTTGCCTAATTTGGCTATTTAGGAGCCTATAAAATAGTTATATATCTTGTAAGTAAATGGCATTGGCCATAGAGGTCCTTTGAAATTTTATATGTCTTTTAACACAGCAAAGGTCAAATATCATGACAAACTGCCATGACAATGGAAATCTCTGTATGACCCCAAATTTGCAAAGCACTCCCAATGGATTTCTTATTCCTGGCAGGATTCAAGAAATAAAATTCTAGTACAACCAGGAAATTTTGCCACCTCTTTAAAATCCTCTCAAATGAGACTTTTTTTGGCATATATTAAATATGAATCCTGTGGGTTGAATTCCAGAAAGTTCAAGGAAGCCATTGAAATGGCACAAACACACATAGCATTTCAACCTCAGAGCATGACTTCTAAAAACCAAATAAACAACGGCTTGCCTAGAACCCAGGTGGGAATTCTGGTCATGAACCAAACCACCCAAATTCCAGGCAATCTGGATTCTCCTTCCATCTCAAACACAGAAGGCTGTCCGTCAAGGTGCAAGAAGAAGGAAGAGGGCCCCAGGGGCAATCTTGGGATATGAGGCCAACTACATTAAGGTCTTTGAGAGACCCTCACCATCCCAGTAACAACCCATACCAAAACACACCTGGTTCATCCTCAAGTGAAAGGATAGAGCATTCCTCCCCCCACTCCCAAAACATGCCCCTTTTCAGCTATAAGACTCACCTCTGGTTCAAAATAGACCTCCAACTTCTGTTTGTTCTGGACCAACTTCCCGTGTCCCCGGCTCAGGAGAGAGAGCTTAAACATGTTTCCCCTCTGACCACCCTTCTCAGGGGCAGTTCATCTTGGTTTTGAAGGCTGAAAACTGGTCACACCTCAAGATTTCCGAAGCTCAGCAGCAAGCACAAGAAGACCACAAACACTGGGCCTTTTATTAAATACATTTTTCCCTCTTACAGCAGCTTCTTAGTAACAACCAGCCACACAGTTTAGACAGTGTGCATCTTTGTACAGAGAAAAACAAACTGCCTGCCCAGATTCCTCAAGCCCCGGATTGTATACTCTCTGGACAACCTCTCTGTCCTCTGCGGGAGCCCTTGTTGTCCCTTGGTTCTGGTTGCTCTGTTACTGGCTGTGTGCATCTACAGATCTGGGCCACAGCACCATCCTTTTCATTGTGGCAGAGGTTGTTTCCCGGTTGCTATGGCAGCACAGGGAAATGAAGTCCCTTAACCCAGCAGAGGCCAGGCAGAGACTGCGGAGGGCAGTAGTGTTCATTCTCCAGCTGGGATAGAGGTGGGGGGTTGTCCACTGGTCATTGAAAGGACCAGGCTCAGATGGCAAGTCCTGGTGGTGGGGGTGGGGGAGGGGGCCATATGCTTTCTGTTGTATGCTCACCTTGCTTTTAGAGTGTCTTCCCCTTTCTCCTGACACATGAGCCTGCCGCTGACAACTAACCAGTAACAGACTCAGGGGAGTGATCTAGGTCACCTAAAGCCACCTGTGATGTTTTCCTTGGCTGAGCCCCAGCATCCCATGAACTGGACACAAGACCTCATTATAGCAGTGGCTGCTTCGCATGAGTGAGCAGGAGATACTGGGACTCTTCAGTTTCCTTTCTGTGCCTGGTTCTCAAATGGGCAGCTTCTCTCCCCAGAGGAGGAACTTTGGAAATGTGGGTGGGGCATTTTGATGGTTACAATAACTGGCTTAGCAAAAGGGGCCTAGGATTCAGCAGTGTGTGAGATTGTCCTATAAAATGAATTGTCCCACTGGAATTGGACAGTAGCATCCCCATTGAGAAACATTGTTATTCCATAGGCTGCTTGATTCTCTTCAATGCTGACGCCACGAGGAACACAAGATGAGAGGGAAGTGAGTCCAGCAACAAAAAGGCCCCCTTGATGGTGATCTAGGACCCTCCATTGGCCTGGGCAAGCAAGCTGCCCTGCCATCTGTCCGTCGGTTTGTGGAAGTGCCCCCTGCTGGCCTGGATGCAGAAGTGCAGTAGGCTACAAGCCCACTTATCTTTCAGGTCCCTGGAGGAAGGCTCAACTCTAATGAGGAAGAATCTCCATGAGATTGCGTTTATCATGGAGAAACAATACAGTGAATCTAGTCAAAACCACAATAACATTTCACACCTACTAGGATGGCTATTAAAACAACAACAATAGAAAACAACCTATGTTGATGAAGATGTAGAGAAAGTGAAACCCTTATGCACTGTTGGTGGGAATCTTAAATGGTACAGCTTGTAGAGAAATTGCTATAGCAGTTCCTCCAAAATATTAAATATAGAATTAGTGTGATTGATCAATCCCACTTCTGAGCATATACCCCAAAAAGAGTGAAAGCAGGGTCTGTTTGTTCACCCATGTTTAGAGCAGCACTATTCACAAGAGTCAAAATGTGGAAGCAGCCATGTGTCCACTGACAGGTGGATGGTCAAACACAATGGCACAGACATGCAATGGAATGTTATTCAGCCTTTAAAAGAAAGGAAAGTGGACCCGTGCTACAGACGGTGAACCTTAAAGACTTATGCTAAATGTAATAAGCCAATCACAAATGGCCAAACGTACAGTTCCACTTATGTGAAGTGCGTAGCATAGAAGGTAGGATGGTGGTGGCCAGGGGCTGGGGGAGGGGAAAGCACAGTCAGTATCTGATGGGTACAGAGTTTCAGTTTGGAAGATGAAAAGTTCTGGAGATGATTCACAGTGTGAATGTACTTAATGCCAATGAACTGTAAACTTAAAAATGGCTAAAATGATAACTTTATGTTATGTATATTTTAACTTAAAACTATTTTCAAATTTACAGCACCCCTCCCTATTTTTTAACACTTCATAATTCAATTGTTAGCATTATTATAGAGTGACCTCCTTACAGTAGATTGGACAAAATCTTACAAAACCTGGGTTATATATAGTTTACAGGGGTCTTAGGCTATAGTTGCTCCTTTCCTTCTCCTTCATCACCCCTTCAAGGTATAGCAAGATCCTTCAAAAAAAAAAATCTCCTGAGAGATTACTATATGAGACATAATTCCTGGACTCAAGGAGCCCCTGGTACTCCAAAAATGTCGAGGCAGCTGGGCATGATGGCACATACCTGTAATCCCAGCGGCTTGGGAGGCTGAGGCAGGAGGATCACAAGTTCAAAGCCGGCCTCAGCAACTTAGCAAGGCCCTAAGTAACTTAGTGAGACCCTGTTTCAAAATAAAAAATAAACAGAGCTGGAGGTGTGGCTTAGTGGATAAGGGCCCCTGGATTCAATCCCTCATGCAAAACAAAAACAAAACAAAAGAATCAAACAAAAAACCACAAAACTTTAAGGCAGGTACATTTATGGACATGGAGAAAGGTGGGTCCTCTAGGAAAAGAAGCGAATGTATACATATAGTGGAGGTGAGTGTAGTGAATGGATGGTGGTAGGCATTATGGAAGGCTACAGAGAAGAGTAGAGAGAAGAGTAGCATCAGAAACACTGGATGGAGCAAGTAGGAGGGAGTCGAATGAAAATCAGTATGGTTAGCCAAGGAGGACTACCCAGGTTTCTGCAGTGGAAATTCTTTCTCCAAACTCAGCTGATTTTGAAATGCTCACTTGCCCATAAATGGTGAATCAGGGCTCCAGAAGGTGATCTTTCTGAATCTAGGTTGAGAGAGAATCTCTCCTGGGAAAATCCACAGGTGTCCCTGTGGCCCTTCCAGCCCCAGGGCAAGGATACCAAGCCTCTCTGGAATTGTGATCTGTGAGCAGCCAGACCACAGCCCGAATCAGGCCTCACCTACACTGTCGTGTTTACATCCATGCTGTTTAATATGGACAATGAACAGATCCACAGATCAATTAATAGACATTTAAAAGCATTTACTCAGTCCCCATAACAGTTTATGGAAAGTGCATTTAGAAAGCAATCGGGGTTATTGCTATTCTAAAGTGCTTGGGGATCCCAGATGAAAGGGCCTTGTAACTGGAAAGTATTTATAAGTCAAGAAGAAACCCTCCACACCCATGTTATACAACACCAACACCATCCCCCAGCATGCCTGACCTGCCAGCCCATGCAGCATGTCTGTTTAAATTACACTGTAAATTCTATAGGGTGGAGACCTTGTTTTTATGGTTTATAAAGCATTATGAATAACCATGGCACTCTGTAAATAAATAGAAACCACATGAAACAAAGAAAATAGATGCTCTTCAATGGTCAGGTCCCCAGTGTGTTCAGGAATTTGTTCCTCGTTCCAAAATGCTTGGGGTAAAGGGATGCCACTCTGGAGGAGTGGTCTAGGAGTTAGTGTCAGGATTTTCACCCTCTTTTATAAAGAAGTGTGATTATATTGTCTAGTAATTTCATTCATCTTTAGGGATAGTGTACAAGAAGAGCCATCGGTGTTGCCCTTGCTTCCTGAACAGCAAAGATCATGCAGAGATTAAATGATTTGCATAAAGCCATAGAACAGACCAGAGGTGAAATGAGACCTTGTCCAAATAGGGTCCTAATTCCAGCCTGCTCTCCATCCCAACTCTGCAATAAAGTAGTGGCAACTACTCATAAGAAGTTTAGCTAACCTATAGCTACCAGTAAATGACCATGACTACAGCCACAACAGCATGCCCCATGAAACTGGAGATTGGACATTAGATTTCTCTGCCATGATTCTCTCTAAACACTCATATCTTCCCAACCTTGCCTCTCTTTGCATTACCTTGCAAATATAGTTGCAGATTTGTCTAGGACATAACATTTTCAGCTTCCTAACCTTTTGCACCAAAAGCAAAGTGGAATGAAGGTTGCTAGAGCTAGCCACAGTGATCTACCATGAACATCGAAGACAAGCTATATGAGATGTCAAAATGACCTGGGTGCAGTGGTACATGTCTATAATCCCAGCAGCTTGGGAGGCTGAGGCAGGAGGATCACAAGTTCAAAGCTGGCTTTAGCAACTTAGTGAGGCTCTTAAGCAACTCAGCGAGACCCTGTCTCTAAATAAAAATACAGAAAGGACTGGCAATGTTGCTAAGTGGTTAAGTGCCCCTAGGTACCAAAAAGAAAAAAAGAAAAGAATGTAAAAATGAAAGAGTTTTGAAGTTATGGGTCATGTGTATGACAAGCAGCATCGCCATGCAATATGAAGGCTCATACCACTTGTTGTGACCTATAGACTGTAAGTCTCTGGAAGGTAGGGGCTTGATCATCATTTTAGGACTCTCCATTGTACCTCTTGCATAGAATAGTAGCTCAATGAATATTCATTATTTGCTTTTTAACATGCTCAAAGAGATGTGCAATTAGCTTTGAGCCAGTATGAAAGATACATGAAGGAAGAGAATTAGATCAAAGCCTGTTTTAGTAGTGTGTAGCTTGCCCAGCCATAGTACAAAGCTTAGGCCCATAAGTTAGAGACTCCAGCCAGGCTCAATAAACAAAGGCTGAAAGGGCACCAACAAACTCCCCATAGAAGATGCAACCCTCCTAACTTGGTGGAAAGGGCACAGGCTTGCCAAGGATGAGTACTTGACTTGTCCAGAGCTGGGCTAATTTCTCATGTGGTCCAGGTCAGATCAGAAAAAAAGAAAATGCAAAAGGAAATAAACCCAAAGGACTTAAAAACAGCATACTACAGGGACACAGCCACATCAGTGTTTATAGCAGCACAATTCACACTAGCTAAATTGTGAAACCAACCTAGATGCCCTTTGGTAGATGAATGGATAGGGAAACTTTGGTATATATACACAATGGAACATTACTCAGCATTTAAAAAGAATAAAATCATGGCATTTGCAGGTAAA